AACTGAATACTAATACAAGAGGTTGATGCCTTCGAGGCATCTCACCGAAGGAAGATCTAATTCAACACGCTCGATGTGATGCGACCGAAAACTCCTCGTACCATGCTAGGCCGTTCGCGGAGGCAAGTGATAAGAATAGCAGCGCTAACAGCAAATGCAACGCGCTCTCGGGATTGATACTGGGAAACATTGACATACGTCAGCATCTCGTGATCGTTCTGGGACCCTGTCACAGGCTAATTTGGAGACATCGAGAAGGGGGTGGAGGGGATGTGGGTGTAACCCCGTTGTGGACAGAGGATGCGAGGGTCCGATACGTACCTTTTTATCATACAATCGTGGCAGGACCGTGGCGGCAGCCCGGGGTGCCACAAATAGCGCCAACTCCTGTCTCTTCCGCGTCTTTTCAACTAATATACTCCAGCCACACATGAGACATCCCGCACCGACGCAGAGCCCAGAGTCCCACATCATCGGAGTGATGATCTTCGCATCAAAGATCTTGGGGCCAATTCGTGTCCGAGCAAGACAAACGCTGTAATAAAATAGACTCACAAAAGATGCGAGGAAGGCAGATGATTGTGCTGCATCAGAAAGGGCCCGACGGAGGGCAGTTGCAGATTTCATCCGGCGTAGACGGAAAACAATCTGTAGGGGTATATAGGTTGCACAGGCAAATTTGAAGGTTTTGGCAAATCGATACAATGCGTGTTTCTCACAACTAGGGCCACAGCCCATGTGAACCATTTCGCAAGGGATCGGGGCCACTTTTGCTGGATCTCCCCATACCTCTGGCCAGTTGTAGTCTTTGCACATCGACTGGAGAAGAGGTGCCTGGCCTGTATCCTTTCCATAAACGAAGACTCCTCGTCGAACACGACGCAATGCTTCAATCAATCGTGAATCGACCTGAGCAGCTTCCCCAATCCACTTCTCATAGGTCCTAGGCAGTCTTTCAGGGAGATAAAACCATGCCCACATGACTACAGAGGCACTCATGGCGAAGACAGCTGCGTCAGCGAAGCCAGGGACAAGGGATTCAACAGTCGTCCAGCGGTTCTGGGCGCGGCGGCGACGGGACCAGCGACCCCATGCAACACACGCGACCGCATCTACGGCTCTTGTGACCATGTAGATTGTGAGGTCCATTGTCCTCCCTGCTAACTCTGGGCGGTGATGCTCCAGCGGATTGGCCATGATTTGACCATGATCTTTCCCCTGATCTGTGGAGTTCCGGATAGCTCTGACATCTTCTATTGGTAGACAGATGCGGTTTCTGTTGAGGAGTTGAAAACTGAACCATCCAGATAGAAAGGTGATGACGAATCTGATTAAGCGGTCGAGCTTTTGTGAGATCTGAACGTCACTTTTGGAGAGCGCTGCTGTGATCAATGCACACAGGCGATACAATCCTATTGGTAGTAGGGTTGAGCCACCGACCAAGGAAGCACAAGCTGTTGGGAAACTGTTCAGACGGAAAGGACCAGTCAAGACTTTAGCTAGCTATTGAAATCGATGTCAGCTATAGCACTTCATTTGCGCGATAGAGCAGAGAAAAAAGGTTGACGATAAGTCGCGATAACAAGTCCACACTAGGTGATGTCACAACATACCTCTTGAAGTTTCTGTCGCGCAGTCCAATCCTTATTGCGCAGTTGGCGTACATAAGAAACCAATTTCGGGGTGACGGAAGACAGGTACCCGAGCGCATAGGCGCGAAGGAGGCTACAATGACAATCAGCAAGGGCTCTTCAGATCACACAGTTGCACCAAGCCAAAGGGTAACAGATCGCATGGACTCACGGCTTGAATACCCGGACGTTGTCCGTTCCATGGCGTCTCCGGAGTGCAGGTTCCATGCTGCCGGAAACCTTCATGTCATGATCCGTCGGGAGGTGTCAACATCACAGTTCCCCGAACTAATCGGCGACGAGGGGTCAGCTAACTGTAAACTCTGATGGGATTCACAAGAATCTCCTCACCAATCAGAAAATCAGGAGGTGAAAGAGGTCAATAGATTTTGTCCGTGAGTGACCTACAAATTTGCACCTCTCGAAAATTGGGTAGTATTCTCCGGTAGAGGGAAATTTGACACTCGCACGATCGTTGGATGGATCAACTGTGGATGCCGGTGTAATGGTCTGTTAGAGAGGCTTTGGTTGGACCTCGGTCCCTGTCCCAGGGGGAAACTCAGAAAAATCCCCGCAAACAAGATCCAAAATCGGGGGAGGGACCGATTAAGAGAAGACCGAGGACGATCATCCGAAGTAATGGGCCTCTCGGAGCGAGATAGTCGGGATAGCGGGGCCCTTTGACTGAATAAGGATGACTTTTTTTTAAAAAATTAAAAGTCCAAAAATGCAGATCTCAGGAGGAACAATCCAAAAGAAGAAGATGAACCGCAAGATGGTTGAAAAAGAGTAAAGAAAGATGAATGTACATGTACCTGCAGTGTACTTGCAGCATGAAGACAACTTGACCTCTCTCAGGGCCTCGGGAGGGTTCTCCGGAAGTCAACAGCTCTCCCCAGGAACGTACTAAATACCGAGGGTCCATTTTAAGCCACACCGGAACGGCGGTATTTTCGGTAATTTTCGTACTGTTACGTCACGCGCTCAAATTTTGCATGTGATCAGGTCCTTGTCCGAACAGGACGATTGCTTTAATCACTCTCCTTCTTCTATAGGACGAATCTCTCTTGCTTTCGCTCTCTTGATCTTCTCGTTTCTGTCTTTCTTTGCACTTCTATCTAAACTTCTTGTTCCTATCCCATTGCGCTAAACCGAACTACCTTATCGAGTCGCATTATCAACCTAGAGAATCTCCCCGTGGCCTCGATCTACCCCCCGCGTCCCTCTTTTGTGGAGTCGAGCCTGTCTTATCACATTGATCACATATATCTTGCATTCGAATCCAAGGCATGACAGTATTGCCTTGGTCCGCGCTGCTCTTGACATCAGAGTAGCAACCCTTTCCTTGACCGACACTCCGGCATACAAATTCTTCTTGATATTGAACCATTTCCCACTATGAATGGGCATGGGACTGAAATTCAAACCGAGCGCACATCCCCCCCATCTGCTCCCTTCGGATGTAAGTTGTCCTCGGCATTATTTTGTACTGTTCGCTCTCTAACCCGATTCCAGACTCCTTTCTCGCCCCAATGGACACCCCATTTGAACAGGCACCTGCTTTGCCACCAGGGCCTTCTCTTCTTGATGATAATGAATCCAGTATGCTGGACAACTTCTTTACTACTATGAACGCAAACCACTTTACAAATGACTTTTGGATGCGACAAGAACATAAACCCGGGGTACCCGACTTTGACTGGTCAGCTGAGCTGCCACCCAACTTCGAGGGCTCAACCACATCCCTCTCACAGCCTTCATTTCAGCAGCACGGGCTAGGCAAAGCAGCTGGCACAATGATGACAAGCAACCCTACAAGCTCGGATATATTCGCCGCAGCCTCCATGCTTTACCATACCGGCGTGAACGGATCAGAGGTAGGATCCACGTTAGCACATCAGGCTTTCCCGGGACAGTCTCTGCCAACTCCTGGATCACAACGGACAAATAGCTCACATACTGGCAATAATGCACGGGGTTCAACTTCATCCCCACCCCGGGCTGATGTCCCGGCTGGATATCATACCTCAGAGATGTTTTTTGACGTCCGTGACCCCATTCCTGTGGATCAGCATCCATCAAGAAAGGTCCGCAGTTTGCGGTGGGGCTCAGATGCCAGTTTCATGGACCAAGGCTATCTTCGCCCCCCCGACCAGCCTGACGAGGAACAGCGAACAAATGACCTGCTCGATCATCTCGGGTGTTTTGAACCCCAAAGCAGTGCAGCAAACACACGCCCACCTAGTCCAGAGTGCATGCCTGGGGCTCCCCCACAACGATCCGCTTTCCGAAGTAATGCCGTCCTGGATGAGAGCTTACATGCTCGAAAACGGCCAAGACCCATGAAAGAGGAGCTCGACGAATACTCCGATGACGATGATGGACGACCTCACTCAAGAAAATCTAGGGGATCTATCAGCAGAGGTCGACGGGTATCAACGTCAACGGACATGTCTCGAAAAGCCCGACTGCATCCAGGATCCAAAGCCGCACGAGAGAATCTCACAGAAGAGCAAAAACGGACCAACCACATTCTTTCGGAGCAGAAACGCCGAAATCTCATTCGCCAAGGCTTTGAAGACTTGTGCACACTGGTCCCTGCGCTCAGAGGCGGCGGGTTCAGCAAAAGCGCTATGCTCACTGGAGCCGCTGACTGGCTTGAAGACCTTCTCCGGGGGAATGACATACTCCAAGGGCAACTGCGTGACTTGAAGGGGATCAATGGGTTGGTGATGCCACGATGATACCCTTCTGTGACAAGACCACAGCCCTACTTTATGATCTCATGGATGGTCCCTGCCTCTTTTGTTCGCGGGGATTGCAAGCGTTTCAGCGGGTGGACAGTTTGGTGTATGCATGGCGAGTTGGCATTTCATCTTCGCAAATCTGGCCACAAGATACCATTTTCTTTTCCCTGCATATTTTCTCTGCATACTCTTCGCCGTGTTTTTCTTTCCAGTCTAACCGCTGTCGGTGATACAAGTCGTTTTTCGGCTGGTCTTCGGCAAATATCGATACCCTAGTGCATAATTCGAAAGGCCTGTATAGGCAGAACATAGTTTGAGTACATGTTTTTTTTTGATTGTTTTCGTCAGTATGTTAAGATGTAGGTTGCTACGTAGACCATCATAAAAAGAATAAAGCCTCGAAAGCGATTTTATTTCGCCGTCTTGCACACAAGCCAATGTAGATATACCATAATTCGACATTTAACGGGGTTCATTCTCAAATACTATATTGTAGTACGAATATATAAAGGCCAAGACATGCGGGACTATCTCCATGTTTTGTCTCCACCGCTCTATTTTGCCTGCATGTGAAGACGCGTAACCTTAATTGTGGATCTTGACAGATCCAACACCTTCAACCATGCCTCCAAAAAGAAAACACACGGACGATGCCCCTGACGACTCCAAACACTACGCCTATCTCAAACCTCACGTCCGTCGCGTCCCAGAGAAGACCATCAAGTCGAAATGGGCCCCTCTACCGGAACCCGTCCAGGAAAAGGTCAAGGCCATGTTCCACTCCCTCGAGCGACCGGTGATAATGCGGAATCAAAATGAGCGCAAGCGCATTGAGGCGCAGGGCGCCGTGCAAGCGGTCGTGCGAAAGTAAGGCCCCATGCTTAGTCTGGTAGCTTCCGTAGAGCTACCAGTGTCTTGAGGGATGATACTAACCGTATACTCCGTCTTGTTTCAGTTTAGGCAAACGACTCCCCCGAATGCCGTTTCCGCCTATAACGAAGGAATCCAACTTCGACTACGAATCTGCGCTGAATGAGCACGTATGTGACGCTCTGCGGTTGTCGACAACTCCATACTGATTATATTTTTAGCGCTCCCTCGAGGGCCAATTGGCCACGATGAATGATAGTGTCGATCTACTTAAAGCCGAGATTGCGAAAGAAGAAGCGCTCCTTGCTGCTGAAACAAAGTCGCTTCAGGAAATGGACAAGAATGCCAAACGGGCCGAGGCTGAAAGGAAACGACAGTCTAAGAATGTATGCAGCAAACTCATCTTGCCTCTTAAGTGTGACTGGCTAATATTTTACGATCGTAGGAACACCCCGTGCTCCGACAGTTAGATGCACTTCCTCAAACCGAGGGTTTTGGATCCTCGGAGTTCACGCTTCTTGGCGCAAAAGATAGCCAAGTGACACTGGATGAGGTATGGACTGTGAACTATACGTGCTCGCTCTGTCAACTTACCATTGTTTTTTTTATTTTAGTTGGACACTGACCCCGAAGTCCAAGGACTGATGAAACAACTGCATGGCCATCTTCAATCTATCCAAAACAATACCGCCCCATTCGCCGGACTCGGGGATGCCATCACTCGATCACAAGCTGCCTTGGATCTATACTCGATGCCTAACGACTGATCGCCCCCCCCCCCCCCTTGTACCTCACCACACCACACAAGCCACCAATCCCCGCATTTTGATGCTTACGATTGACACATGAAGGGCCTCGGGCTCAGGATATGCGCGCCTATTAAAAAGCAAGCCAAGTCCCGAGCTTGGCAATTAGGAATTACATTGGCAATCCTTGTCGCGTGATCGAATTGCAATGCATTCGCTGAACTGCATGCGGTGGAACCGGGCACGGTTGAACCTCTCATCGACATGGGGTATCCCGTACTGCAGGGGTAAAGTATACTAAATTGAAAGGGTATCATGCGCACCTGGTCCAAGCTGGAAAGTGAAGAATCAGACAATCCGAGGCTGCACAACACAAAGACAGTTGAGAATCAATAAGATACTAGTCCTTGTACATGAAGTAATTTCAATTAGAATGTAAGAATAGAAAATGTATAGAAAATGTAGAAAGTAATTCCTCGACCGAGGTCGCCAAAAAGTGGCGTGTGCCCAAACAGCCAACCCCATGCGGAGGAGTTCGGAGGGGTGTGACTCCGCTTTCTCCATCCCCAACTTTTAGAACTTTTTGACGTTTAACAACTACTGGACTGCAGGCAGCCACTTAGCTCCCTAGTGGTTCTTAACCTCTTGCGCAATGACTGAAAAGAATGCGCTAGGCGCTTCCAATCCGAAAAGAGATGCAGGGAAGGATACGAGCATCAAAGACTCTGCAGCCAAAGCCGAAACGACCTCGGGGAGTCATTCCAGTCCTAAGAAGCGCCGGAAGGTGAATCACGGTAAGGAGCCGTTGCGCAGCATGCGACAGGGATCTTGGCGCGACCGATTCTGCGCACGATAAGAGCATCTTTGCTAACGTTTCCCGCAATTCCAGCCTGTGTATATTGCCGCCGCTCGGTAAGTTTACCTTTTGGGAATGCCATTATACTTGATCATCATTCGCAATAGGCCATAGAGTGCCGGCGCATATCTATTCGAGGAACTGGCTTTGCTAACGGGGTTTTGTTCGTGTGGGACAGCATATGACCTGCGACTCGGTACGACACCTCTCTCCTTTCCCCGTCTGCAACCCGTCGCTTCTGAAACCCTGAACGCAGACTCGCGGAAAATAAATCGCACCAGCTGACCTGTCTGTATCTATGAAGGAACGGCCCTGCACACGTTGTATAAAGCGAAACATCGGTCATCTGTGTCATGACGAGCCGAGGGAAACTGCGAAACGGGGACGTAGTGAACAGGAACATTCCGCCGCAGACGACGAGGGCTCGTCTAACAATGAACTGGGCACCGTTCAAAGCATGCCTAGGAGTGTCGACGTCCCCGATGCTGCTGGTCAGCAATCATTCCCTGATACCACGATCGGAATTGCACCCTCAGCTGTGAACCCGCCTTCAACAGTGCCGCCTGCCAATCTCTCTGCATCTAGTCAGGGCCTCGAGGCTAACTCTCACCGTGAGTTCGCAAAGTAACCTGTTTTGTCTCCACTCAGCTGACGTGGTATGATAGTCATGCAATACAACGACTGGGTAGGTGGTCAGAATCAGTTCCAGGATATGCATTCTCTCCACCCATCCTACATGTTTAATGCACACGAAGTGACCAACGAGTACAATCTGCTCGGAGATTTCCTCAGTAACAGTCTTTTGGACGACGGCGCAATGTTCCAAAATCCAGATATGCAGGGAATCTACCCCGATTCATCATTGATGAACTCGATGAATGGTATGGGGATGCCGAATGGGTTGCCTCCTCCAGCACAACTTCCGCCGCCAGCACAAAGCCAAGTACCAGGAGACTCGATTCAACGACCAATCTCAACGGTCGGCAATGACAAAGCCCGAGAAACATACTACATGACCGCCGCCGACCCGGCAGGAACTGATCCACCAGAAGAGCGAATGAACAAGCTTCTTAAAGCGAAATATGACGCCGGATTACTGAAACCATTCAACTACGTCAAGGGATATGCGCGATTGAACCAGTACATGGAAAAGAACATGCAGCAAATATCTCGGCAAAAGATTCTGCGACAGCTCGACAAGTTCCGGCCCAAGTTCCGAGAACGCATGCAGAGCTTGACTGATATCGAATTGATTCTGGTGGAGATGTGGTTCGAGCGGAGTCTGATGGAGTACGACCGCGTTTTTGCCAGTATGGCTATCCCGGCCTGCTGCTGGCGTCGAACGGGCGAGATCTTCCGAGGGAACAATGAGATGGCACAGCTGATTGACGTTCCGGTTGAGGGTCTGCGAGATGTAAGTTTCAGAATCGAAGACAACCCATGCACGTCATATCACATCAAACTAACATGTCCACTATCTGTAGGGTAAACTTGCCATCCATGAGATCATCGTCGAAGATCAGCTGGTCAGCTATTGGGAAAAGTTCGGCGCTATCGCCTTCGACAATACCCAAAAGGCCATGCTCACCAGTTGCACGCTGAAGAGCCCCAACCCTAACTCAACAGGTGATGGTATTACCTGCTGCTTCTCTTTTACGATCAGACGAGATAACCACAACATGTAAGTGTTCCCTTGTATTGTCCAACTGTCCGCTAGATATAAGTGTGCCGCAACTGACAATGTGCAGCCCGTCTCTAATCGTTGGGAACTTCCTCCCCATCGATAAATAGTACTTTTTTTGGTAGACTGTTATTTATTATATGTCACGCAAGGATTTCTCTTTTGGTATCATCTTTTGGTTTAGTGATTCCCCGTGTTTTGGTCGTGCTTTTCGCAGAAAAATGTATAGTGCTCGATTTATGTGTACAACATCAAATAGTCTGTTTTAAGTTGAATGATATATAGGAATTAAAAAGATAATTCTCTGAGTAGTGTATATGTCCCAGGTTTACGATTGTCAAAAGACGAGAGGCACCTGGTGTTTGAATGGCAGCCTCCACGACTCAGTCGTCTCTTTAGTCCCTTCACGCTCTTCCAACTCCAACCATCTTCTCTCTCGCTTCCTCTCCCTCATCTTTTAACCTTTTCGTCAACCTTAATTCGACTGTTCTTGTATCTCCTCTCGTCTTTTTTTCATCCTTTTCTTTCTCTGCCTCCCAATTCCCAAGTCTTCTCCATGGCACAACCGTCTGGACCATGCCAGGCTCTGGCAGGTATGAGCCGCACCACATGTCACCCGCAAGTTACAGCAGCTAACCATCAAGTTCTTCTACCTTAGGCTTTGCTTACGAATTGCATACAATGTTATATCCAGCCCTTGCTCCAGGAAGTCCTCTTCTCTCCCCCAATGTCATTCTCAGGCTGGATGCCGAGCTCAACAGAAACCCGTTTGGTCTCGTGGTAATAACATCCGGGAACGAGGATCTGGATACGATTGGCACATTGCTGTGGAACGACTGTATTGAGCTGATGGTGTCGCATGGTAACAATCCGGATGATGTGCTGGTACTCGGCAAAGTGAGGGCTCTCGCGTTTGCCGTGTTGAACATGGCTGTGTTGCCTGATCTCCTAGGTTTTTACTGACCCCTAGTATATATTGAAGTGAGCTTACCTGACAATTTCACAGGGAGTACCAGGGCTCTTGACCTGGCCCTCAAGGCGGCCCGTATTTGCATTGGTACATCATCCTATATCCCATTACGACTATCAGATCTAACAACAAGCACAGTGAACCAGCAACGTGATATTGCGCTGAATATCTTGTCAATCGCAGCTCTGAGGCTGGAAAGTATTCAGGCTCCTCATCTTGGGCTTGATGCTACAGCTAACCGCACTCTCACCACCCGATACAACTTGCTCCGTGCTCGACTGGTGAGTCGTATTGTCGGAACACTGTTTTGTATGTCAACACCAGAACTAACAGATTATTCCAGGCCTGGTTGCAGGATCGAGTAGATATCGCAGAGCATTTCTTTGCCAAAATTCCTTTGCCTGGTCTGTCGGATGATGAAGAGGCGGCCTTCGAGACTTGTTTTATCATTGGCAACTCTGCACTCGCACGGCGCCAGTTTGACATTGCAGCAAGATGGCTGCAAATAGCGAAAGATCGCTTGGAAGCTTCATCCATTATGGATGTGATGAAATTTCCTGATTATGATAACTGGAACCTGGTTGTTCGACATTCCCTTGGTGAGTGGTTTGGTTTAATCAAGCTGATGACTCGGACTAACATCCTGCAGCTGTGGCTTGTACTCAAATCAAAAACCCCCAGGCAACCGTCACGTACGATATTGAAATGATAGTCTTGAGAGAAGTACGTTTGTGGAGAATGTATTAGACTTGAAGCTGACCTTTCTAGACTTACCCAGAGCACCCTGCTGTGATCCTTTTTGATCTCTCTATGGGACATAATAATCCTGGTACCCACGGAATACTCCAAGGTAGGACTGGTCTTGGTCTTGAATGGAATTGAATTAACCACATTATTGTAGGTCTGCAGAGGCTAGTCGAGAAGACGACTCTCACAGATATGAACATGCCGATGTGAGCTATCCCACCAGTATTAACCTGGTCATTTTTCATCGATGTTAACAGTGAATCTAGCATTTTCCAATTTGCCCGTTCTATGGGACATGCAGGGTACCTAGGCTTGATACAGCCGATCTGATGACGAATTTGCTGACGGTTTTATAGTGGTTCAGACAACGGGATGGAAGCACTTCGAATATTGCTCATGCGCCCTCTACCATCCAGAGAATGGACAGAGAAATGCTTTGTTGCTTTTACGCTACTTTTGAGCAGATCGGAATGCTCTGATTCTATCCGAATTCGCACCCTCCGGGGTGTGATTGACGCACTAGAGCAACGTGGATACCCATCAATCAGCGCCAGCGCAGCTCACGCCACCGTGATTGTAAGGCAACTCTCATCATGGTCAATGAAGATAGCTGACTGGCTACATACAGTGCATCTGGAAAATGACTGGTGGTGCCCTTCTCAAGAACGACTACTGGACTGCACAACTCTGGCTTCAGATGTGCAGCGAACCGAAGATCTTTCAACACTGCTCCCAATCTATCCAGATTGCGATACAAAAGTCGGTAGAACAAAAGTTGAGCTTTAACTTGCATGGCGGGCTGACGTCTCTTTAGGAAGCTGCTAGCATGTTATCTACAGACTGGAAACCTCGCCGGTGCTCGTCAGTTAATGGATCGTGGTCTAGTCCAAAGCCAGGTGGACTGCGAACGGTTGTATTTGTCCTACAAGCTGAGCTTGCTGGAGGGAAAAGACGGCTCCGGTATGAATAATCCATGGAACCTCGACGCTTCTGGTGTATTCTAACTATATGAAAGGGCATTTTTATCTCGGCTTTCCTCTGCATCCCGTGCCACACAAGCAAATGAGCCTACTATCGTGCGCAATGGAGGCCCAGAGACAAAACAAACCAGAAGAAGTAATGAACTGTCTTGATCAATTTACCAAGTGTTTGATTGCAGATGATATTTATCATCACGACTTTTCCGCCGCCGAGCATTACATGTGAGAATGCTCTATATATATGACTTCGGGTATATGACTAACTTGCCTACCCTGAATAGATTTGCAATTACTCTTCTTTTCCAAGAGCTTTCCAAAGGCTTCACTGAGAGGCTTGGCAACTGTATCGAGACTGTACTCGAGAGTGGTGCGTTTCCCTCTGCATCTATAACAATTTCTCCATACTTACCGTTCAATAGCACTGTCTTATGCAAAAGGAAACAGCATGTTTGAAGGTGGCGACCAGGAGGTCTCAGTTACCCAACTACAATGGCTGTATTTCGTGACTTACAAACTCGCTTTGAAACTTATGAGCTCTTCCGGGCTCCTGTGGATTGCTTCGGTCTTGGATTACTCCAGACAAGTCTGTTTTAGATCCATGCAAAGTGTATGTTTGGCCATATTTACTGACGTGTTTTCAGTTTGCGCTTCAATATCGGCAGATTGCATACCCCGAGATGGATTCCAATGCACCCAGACCGCATTTATTTGCGGTTGTTTACCTCCGTATTCTTGCTGCCTCCCTTAACGCCCGCCGCGAGAACGATCTGAATAACAAGGTTCGTTTCAACAGTTCTTTAGACAAAATCCCCGCCTTACCCAAACGTCACAACAGCATAGGCCATGATGACCATACTGACTATCTGCAGAGAACGTATTACATGAATGTACGCACTTGTTTCATCGGCCTCAATCATTTACACGGTTGGGAAGATGAGGAAGAAGAGGCAGACGAGGCTACGAATGAGAAAGAAGACAGGCACCATGACATTGCACAATTTTTCGACCTTGAAGCTGCCATGCACCTCAGGCACTGGCAGGATATCTTGGACATTTGTGCATCAGACGATGAGTTTCCCAAGCCGAGGTTTTACGCACCGATTATAGATCTGGCTTTCCAACGGAACATACCACCCACAGTGGTAATCCCGATCATCAAGGTGCGCTCTACTCTTATAAACGGGGTACTACATTTTCCAAACAACTACTAACATTCATACAATAGCGCATCATGTCAGAACTCAGCAAGCTACAGGATGATCCCCCTACTACATTCCAAGGCGATTTCCGGGTTTCCTTGCCCCGCTACCTCCACTGTCTATTCTCGCTAGCCGTCGGACGGCCCCGATACATAAACCCTACTGGAATTGACCTTTTAGATATCAAAATGGCCGACGCCGAGGTTGCTGAAGAAGTGCTCGACAGAGTCCTCGCAATAGCAGGCGGAGAGACCGGCGCTGAAGAGGTTAAACACGAACAGCAGGATTCGAATTCCATCCAGTCCGACCCGAAGCTGAGGGGCGAGTTCACATATCCAGCTGCGGAATTGATCAAGATTTCTACGGTGGCTTTCAACAAGGCTACTGACTTTTACCGTGCTACACGGGACGATGATTGTCAGCGTTGGGCGAACAAGGCTATTCGTATTGCTCAGCTTGTACCTGGTATTCAGGGCAGACAGGTGGTCCAGGCGCTCCAGACTAGGCTGGGGAGCTTGATTTGATTTTGACAGACTGATTTTATCTGGATATTTCCAGTGGTTTTGTGGTGAGAGTGCGTGAAGTGAGAAAGAAGCGTTCATCGAAACGCTACTGGCCAAGACTATGTTGAGGAATGGATGGAGATGTTCGGTGATGTTTCAAACGGGTTGTGACAAGGTGGAGGAATGTGTGTAGTGTAGTGCTAGGCTGAGATGAATTGAAATGAATTAAGTATTCTTATATCTTCCCGATCGAAATAAAAGCAAGAGAAAGAATGGGTTCAAGGATTTTGATCAAGGTGAGATGGCGTACAGCCTAAAAGGTAAATATGGGTATCATCAGAAGGGAAATGATCTCTAAGAAATCAGGAAGTATAAAGGAAATTCGCCCACCAAAAGTCCAGTAGATGATGCGTAGATGCGAAGGAAACGAAAAGAGAAGATCCAAGAGAATGCACAGGCCAAAATGCCAGTAAACAAGAAAGAAAAGGACGAAACAAAGAAATGATCAAGGGAATGCGATATAAAAGCGCCATGGCAATTAGACCGAAGCCATAAACACCAGAGATGCAATGCCTCTCCCGAAAGCAGAATAGAATATTCTCAATGAGAGAATGAACTTCATTCCTCCCCATTTGTATCACAAGAACGACTCCGCGAAGCCTGCCGTGTCCCCTTATGCCGTAACGACGGGGTAGACGGCATACGATGAGGAATACGAGGCGACTTAGACACAGCCGAGTAACTCTGTTTACGCTCCCGCTCCATATCCTTACCACTACTATCCGTCTCTGTCTCGGCGCTTTCAGCGCTCTCATCACTGCTCTGTCCACGACCACCAACAACGCGTAGTGTGAGACTGAGTTCGCGCTCGAGTTCCTTTTGCGCTTGGATGAGTTGACTTGAGCCGTTGAGTTTCTTGCGATACGCTCGCAGAGTCCGACACAGCTGTTCGGTCGACATATCCAGACTTCCGAACTCGCTGCGCGGGGTTTTTTTCCGCGGTTGCGGAAGTCGAGGGATGTGCGGCGGTTGGTGGTTCTTGCGCTGTGGGGTTTTCGCGGCGTTGGGGTTTTGGATTTCGGGCTTACTGGGGATGGGGACCGGCGGTGTCGGTCTTGGGGTGTGCGTTGTGTTGGGGAGAGGCGGTTTGGGGGTGAGGGTGTTTCTGAAACGGTGTGGTTTTTTAGTGAGCTTGGTGCTAAAGATAGTCGAGATAGCTTGCGGAGTAGGGTTGGAGAATGCTCGCGTATAGGTGTTGGTGTTGTAGGGTTTGGGCTATCCGGTCGTTGGAATCCGGCGAGCTCACTGCGGGAAAGGACTTTGCGGAGAGGGGGCCTCGCCGCTGTCATTTCCTTTACGGGGGTTTCGTCGTCCTCGCGTATGTTACCGATCAGGTCTGGGGAGACATGTTGCTGGACAGCTAGGTTCCATATCATCAGGATACCATCCATACCGGCACTGACCACTGTGCGCTTGGTTTGAGACCCATCGGATTTATCACGCTCCTCCAGGAGTAACACATCGGTTACGCCTTCTGTATGGCCAAATTCGCCGGTGAGGAGCTGATCTCGCTCCAGATCATAGACGCGAATAGATTTGTCGGTGCTCGAAACACCTATAAGAACCTTCGGTGTCTGACCTGAGATTTCAGAGGCAACTGTCAACGAGCCCAAAACTACTGCATCCGCTGTCTCTGAATCAGATGCCTTGAAACAGTGAAGTTGGCGCCCAGAAGGTATATCGAATTTCGAAACACAACGGTCCATAGTGGAAAGGTATAGAATGTTCGAGTCGTCTGGACAAAGTGTCATCGAGACAGGGGAAGCCTTTTGAGTGATGACCCTTGAAATGAGGTAGGCAACAGACGTGCCACAATCGACCTCGCGTGTCGCACGATCTCTTATGACAACAGTGCGGTCTGCGGAGCATGAAAGGAGCCTTTCGCCTTCGTTAATGAACATCAATTGTCCAACAGCTCCGACGTGATCGTCCATGGTTTGGATCAATTGCAACTCGTTGTCTCGTTTCTCGAAGAGTTGCACCATCCGATCACGCCCGGAACTAGCTACCAACCAGGTCTCGTCCATGCCTTGGATGACCACATCGGTGATCTCTCCACCATGGGCGCGCGCCTGGTCAAGGCAAGTCCAGTCGGAGTTCGAAAAGGTTCTGCGTCAGAGTCAGCTGAAGAACTTGGCTACTATGTCAAATTTGCACATACCTCAATACACCAAATTTGTCACCAGAGACAAACCAGTCCGCATTTTCAGCGGTCCTCAAAACTTTGAGTTCGTTTGCCGCATCATCTTCTTTTCCTGGGAATTGGTCGAGGTCGATATTTTTCGATCCTCGACACTTCCCTTGGGCATCCCAAAAGTTCACCGAACCATTGCGAGACCACGTGAAGAAGTCCGCAGACAAGTCATTAGGGAAATCCATGCGGCAGATGCCGAGAATCGGATCCCGATGAGCCGGCATGGAAGCCTCGCCCTCCTCTTGTTCACCATCTTCGCCTAAAGTATCAATCGGATAGACATGGATCGCGCGGGTGGATTCAACAGTGACTATATGAGAATTGAGAGACCCCATGCAGGTAATCGCCGGCGCCTTGCTTTTCTTATCAACTGCACTCTTGTCAAGGCGGACAGGAGACATCGGCGTGGATGAACCAGAAGATTGTAGAACTTCAAATGGCACCCGCTGCATTTGCCTTCCTCGCCCACCTAGCCATATAGATTCCTGGTCAAAGTCCACAGCCAATGAGGTGATGCTGAATCCAACTTGCTTTACCGTGATCATCTTCTGGGAGCCCTCGCGATCATCGAGAAAGCAAAGTGCCCCTGAATCTGTACCGATTACAGCCTCGTTGTGGGAGATACTGTTCACACAGGTGAAGGTGTTATCGCCCAGTGCACCTAGTAGGCAATTTCTGCCGGAAAGTGCTTTCGGGGCAGGATTGGGCGAGGGGCCAGCCCCCTCTATATTCAAACGTGACTTGGTCGGTGAAGCAGGTCGAATGACCGTTGGAAGACGCCAGACTTTCACATGTCGCAGACCAGTCCTGAGAAAAAGACATTAGTTGACTGCTAGTTTTTACCATCCGATCAAACATACGTGACCAAGCTTTGGCCGACCCAGCACATATCTTTGATAAACGAGGTGCATTTATTCGCGGAGTGTAGCCTGGCCGACCCATTTTTGAGATTTATTGCCCAGATAAAGAGAAATCCATCATTCGGATTACCAAGCGTTGCCAAATACTGAGAGTCGGGACTAAACGCCAGGCTGCGAACACCGAATGTATGCTCATTTAGAATGGACAGAGGAACATCCGGCAAAGCATCTCTTGCTGTCGAAAATATTAGAACTCGAGGATTATAACCAGTCTTGACGTCGTCAGCTCTGTTTTGCAATAATTTGTCTCAATTCTCCCCACTTACCTCTCCCACTGCAAGAAATCTTCCATTCGGGCTGATCGAAACACTCGTCACTGCCTTGATTCTTTCCCTCGAAGACCATCCACGTGGACTGCCGCTGTCGATGACTTCGCTTGACGGAGACCCATTGGGAATATTGAGGTGCGGGTTCGATCGGATATGGGAAAGGGATCGCGATCTCGGGTCCGGGGTGGCTGGGGGAGTCGACTGGTTGTAAAAAGAAGTCGATGGGTTCACGCTGGTCGCGGAGGGGCGGGCTCGGAAGAAGCGCTGTGTTATATTGTCGTTCTCGTCTAATTCTGCGAGAACCGCTGCTGATCCAGCGCACAGTGCAAAGCTTCTGCTCTGATCATTGCTGGAAAAGCCATTGGGTGTTGTTGTTGTTGTGCCGATAACGGTTTGAAGGGATAAAAAGGATTGATGTGCGGTTTTGCTGGGGGATCGCGTGCCTGGTCGGAGGATTGGAGAGTTGGAAGGAGTGATTTTCAAGGATGCGCCGGGTCCAGCAAGCTTGCTTTTCGCACTGAGGGGGGCAGTGGTAGCCATATCCTCGGGGAACAGGCGGTCGGTGATTTAAGGTCCGCTGAGAGCGCGGGATGTTTGCATTTCAAGCCAAGTTCATCAGATAGGTTCGTGGGTACCAGTCAGGCTGTAGTAGGTGTCGGAAATTTTATCTCGGGGAGTGGTCAGGAGAGAGTGTGGAGGGATGGTAGAATTAGTGGGGGCAAGCTGAAATGAAGCTCTGATCAGCCAAGTCCGATCTCCATGCACAAATATAGAACTCACCAAACGAGCGTATAGGCGGAGAAAAAGAAACAAACACGAGGCTCATTCCGCGCTAAAGCAGATCATTCCAGTCGATCGGAGGAATTTGAACCTTTTGGATGCCCCTGGCTCCATGGGGTTGTATGGGCTCCTGGTTGGCTTCTGATTGGCCTCTTGGATTTGAGGAATTGCCGAATTCCCACCTATCGAGAGGTTTGGGATCTCTGAATTCCCTTGATCTGCGAAAAAGCGCGAGATGAACGGTGGGTCGTGTACGCACAGTTCGCCGCACTAACCCGGGCCTTCGGCTTAATGTGAGCTTTGATGGGAGTACGGAGTACGGAGTACGTTGGACGGTATACTAAGTATCTCAGATCGGATCAGATCGAAAGGCGCACGGGGGGTCCACGGGAGGTCCACAGGTGGGTTTGCTTTTAATCTGAGACTCTTTACGGAGTACTCCGTACACCTTTTCACGTGCCTCAATGGTCTCGTGCCCCCCGGTGCCCTAATTTTACACAATTTGACCTGTCCATTCCGATGCCCATTTCTACCAATAATACGGAGTACAGACTACAAGTCTCATGCAACTGTCCGCACTAAAGTCGTACATCCCATGTTCATTCTACAAACCACAAGTATGTACATACTCCGTACAGGACTCTAAAGATTCTGCTGCAACATCGTATCTCATCGTAAAAACTATGTCCCCGGTTATATATGGAAAAGTCGTCACAAATTAAGGCTTCTCTTTCTCTCTGCCGTCTACCTACGAGACTGAGAAGGGAGAAAAAATATCTCAAAGACATCCAAACAGAATATCTGAGAAGACCACTGGAAAGACATCACAAGGCTGCTTATCGGCCAACTATCCTTGTGTGTCTCAATTCCCAACTCAGGCACCGTTGAAGTGTCAGCGCATAGCTACTAGGGCATGAGCCCCACATGTATTTAAACCAGTTTCTTACCCATTAATACAAACAACCGTTTTTGACCCCTGGACTCCGACAGTTATGAGCCCGGTTCGCAAGCACAATTAGGCACAAGGCCTAATCCTGATTCCCGACAATGGAGAACATGTCAGCGGTCGCCTTAGGAAGGCTTACATCCTACGAGCAGTGGAAACCGTGGTTATCACAGATCAAGGTGATAGCACTCGAGGCGGATATCTGGCAGCAGATTAACCCAGAACTACTAGTTGAACCCGAGAGACCTCTACCACCGTTAAAACCTATGCCCTCCGAGATACGACAAGATGCACAATCTACGAGCGATCTTACCAATCAAGAAGTCGCTCGTCTTCGCGATCTTCGAGGTATCTACCAGCAAGAGCGGTCGGAATACGAGTCACAAAGCAAGGCACGACGGATGATTATAGGGATAATCGTAGCCACGATAGACCCTAAGTATAAATCCTACCTTCTCGGCCAGCTCACTCCGTATCAACAACTTCGAACCCTCTCCGAGCTATTCCAAGCGTCCGACCGAACACATATCCAGATGCTACGGCGTAAGTGGCGTAGCCTTTTCGAGTTTAGGGTTACGCACGATACCGCAGAAAAATGGCTTCTCGACGTTCACCAACAATATATCGAGGGTAACGCAGCCGGCGTTCCAGAGATTCAGCATCAAGAGAGTGTGATCTTCGATATCCTACATTGTCTTAAGCATATTGCTCCCGGTTTTTGTGATATTTGGTATCACGAGGTTTTCAACAAGTCACGCAAGATTGAAGTACCCCGGTTAATCCGGATCTTCCAAGGACAACGAGAGTTTTAAGCTACAGAGCAAGGACACCCACTCGAAGCACCGAAAGGCGCATTTTCGACGTGGCAAGGTCACCCCGAAGCACAACCGCAGCGATGTATATGCGGTAAGCTACACTCTTTCCAGCGGTGCTTCTACCTTAATCCAGCCATACGACCGCCAAGCTTCCAACTACACCAGCCGACTATCTCTCGCATTCGAGAGAAATTAGATGAAGCCACCCTTGCTGAGATCAAGAAGGTGCTTCCAGAGTTCAAGGGTTTGGAGGAAGTTCCGCAATAGGCATATTCGGCATGGCCCTCGGGGCCGATGATCAGTTTCTAGCTACTAGCTACACGCAGTTCTCCAGCTCGCAGTGTCAAATAATGATGCGCCATAACAGTAAACAAGGACACTGTATAGGTGAGCACATAGATTGAAGGCTGCAAGCTGAGGGGGTGTGTCAGCGCATAGCTACTAGGGCATGAGCCCCACATGTATTTAAACCAGTTTCTTACCCATTAATACAAACAACCGTTTTTGACCCCTGGACTCCGACATGAAGGCCCGATAGGGTCGTCCATGCAGCCACTTATCACATACCCGATAATGCCTGGCACTCTACTCCGTAAGCCTTTCGCTTTCCATTTTAGTGCTCACATCTTGCCGCTTTTTGATTCCTCACAGATCACCATATGAGCGATCTGATTGCTCACAGAGTACACAAGGTCATGCAAGGTCATGACGGAGATCTCTATCTCTACTCTAGGAATATAAATTGCCCATCGATCAACTCAAATTCCTAACTATCTGCCGGTTCCAAAGATTCATATAAAATCGCTGCTAGCAAAGCAATCGCGTCCCTAGCATAGATAAGCGTCATACCACCAATCCCAGCAGGCCGCTTCCCATCGGGGAAATAAATCCAGCAACGTGATGCCTCATAAGCCTTCGTTGCATAATTGGCAAGTATCAACGCCTCTTCCTCAGACTGCACGATGTACGCATACCCGCGGATCTCCTGATAAGGATGGCTGTCTATCAGAGCGGGAAAATCGCCCCATTTAGCAATGGTGTATCCGATGACCTTGGCTTTGTGTAATCCTGGTTCGACTGGTAGATCAATGATTCGCTGGAGGAGTGAAGGTACTGCTAGTGTTCCGTAGAAGAAGTGACAGACCGGGTATGGGGGAGTTTTATCGAGATTGGCGAGACGGTTGGTAATGGACTCTGTGGTAGTTCTTCTGGTAGATGGATTCTGAAGCGTAGACTGCTGCGTGGGGATTTTTTGGGGTGGGTTCTTGGATGGAGTCGCTTCTGGTATCCTTCCAGTCCATGGTGGGGCGAGGGGGTTGAGGCCTTGTCTGGATTGAAATTCTCACTGGATTGCAGCCTCCTTCTTAGCCTTGCTCTTGGCCCTTCTGTATGCCCTTCTGTATGCCCTTCTGTATGCCCTTCTGTATGCCCTTCTGTATGCCCTCCTGTCGCCTTTTCTGGCCTTCACTTTTTTCTCCCGGGTCATGGGGTCTTCGGGTGGTGTAGCCTCTAGCGATGTATTGTCCGGCATAAAGTCATCGTCTGGAATAGACGTAGTTGGTGAGTCTGCATTTGTTTGTTCTTGGGGGTGATCGGGCATGTTGTGATAGACATAGAAGGGCAAGTCTTTGTAGGAGGAAACGCGAAGAAGGGGAAAGTCGGTGATAGCCTGGGGTTTAATCCGGCATCAATAATTTGGGTTAAAGAGGGACGGTAGTCGTTGAGACATTGTAAAAACAAACAACCTTGAGTCAGGATGCTTCTTTCTACTAGGATGGGCAATTTACCACACTATATTAGTACTGTGATGTTGAAGGGCAGCTGGCATGATGGAAGGGGAAAAATATACGATATGGACAAAATAACGGTGTATTATTTCCGGAATAGCCCAAAGCCTTTTCGTGAACTGCCCTTGGTCTTGTTTGCTGTTTTTGTGGATGGCGAAGAGCGTTGAAGAGCACGACTGAGGCCCTGATAAGACTCGAATGTGTCTGGATGGGACGCACCTAAGGCTTCACTGCGCCCTGCCCAAGCTCGTCGGAAAGTAACTGCGGACCCTGCATAGTTTTTCTGGAGGTCTAGATATGTGCCTAGGGTGTGAAGAGAGGAGAGTGTATCCCTGTGGCTAGGTCCGAGTAGTACCCGGCGAGCCTCGTAAACCTGACGTTGTAATCTTTCAGCTTTGGTGTAGTTGCCTTGATCATAGACGACCTCAATGAGGTGACCAAGAGCCTGAAGTGTGGTCACGTCGTTTTCCCCAAGGGCTTCCTTACCCTCCTCCCAGACCTGTTGATATACTGCTTCGGCTTCGGCGTATTTTTCCTGGGACCGGAGAACGTGGCCCAGGGGAAGGAGACCCCAAAATGTGAATTCATGATTTGCTCCATATGCTTCTATATTCCCTTCCCACACCTGTCGATATACTGCTTCGGCTTTGCTGTATTCTCCCTGGGACTGAAGAACCTCGGCCAGAGAGCCGAGAGACGATAGTGTAGTCAGAGCGTTTGTTCCAAACACGTTTTTGCGCCCCGTCCAAACTTTTCGGTATACTGTCTCGGCTTCAGCATACTTCTCTTGGCCGACAAGATCCTCGCCCACTGATACCAGAGATTCCAGCGTTTCTTTACAATTTTCCCCAAGAAGCCGCTTCCGACTTTCCCAGACCTCCCGGTGCAAGCCTTCGGCTTCGGGATGCTTCCCCTGGCCAGAAAGGGCCTTCCCTAAGTTATGAAGAGATTCCAGCGTCTCTTCGCAGTTCTCCCCAAGAAGCCGCTTCCGACCTTCCCAGGCGTCCCGGTGCAAGATTTCGGCTTCGGCATGCTTCCCTTGACGAGAAAAAGCCTCACCTAACTCATGAAGACCTCGCAGCTTGCGATCATAATTCTCCCTAAGAAGCCGCTTCCGACCTTCCCAGACCTCCCGGTGCAAGCCTTCGGCTTCGGCATGCTTCCCCTGGCCAGAAAGGGCCTTCCCTAATCTATGAAGAGATTGCAGCGTTTCTTCACAGTTCTCCCCAAGAAGCCGCTTCTGGCCTTCCCAGGCGTCTCGGTACACGCCTTCGGCTTCGTCAAACTTGTCTTGGCATAGAAGAAGATCGCCCAATTCACAAAGACATTCTAGTAGTTCTTTGGGGTCTTCCCCACCTGCCCCCTTCTGATCTTTACAGGCATCCCTGTACAAGAGTTCGGCCTCGGGATAGTTATCTAAGTTCCGGAGAGCCCTAGTGAGCTTGTGTAAAGATTTGACAGTTTCGGTGTGCTTCTGGCCAAGAGCTCGTTTTTTCCTCACCCAGGCATCTCGGTATACGGCTTCGGCCTCGGTATACATCCCCTGACCATAGATAGCGTCGCCTAAAGCATCAAGAGAAGCCAGTGTGTCCTCGTAATAGGCACCAAGCGCATTCTCGCGCAGGTCGAAAGCCTTCTGCAGCCTTCTCCTGGCGCCTGAGTACTGCTGTTGGCCCAGTAATGATAGCCCTTCGTCATGATATGTGTGCAAGTCATCCGGCAGATCGGAGCCATCACTTGGTTTTGTAGATACGGACTGCTGTATGACTGTAGGTTTGCCCTGTGGCCCCCATGTGACCTCATCTTTGATGCCTACTGGAAGTTGAAGTTCTGTTCCAGCTTGGGTAGTCCACCTTGCTAAGGCTTCTGTCGACTTCAGTGATACAGACGTTGTCCTAGAACTCAATTCCATATCTCCTCCATTTATTTGTCCTACGACCGGCCCATATTCCGTCCCATTGGCCTCATGTGCTTCTCTGTTGGTGCCTGACGCATGGCTATCTCTCAGCCATTGATGCCGTAAAGCATCACTTGCCGATAGCCGGTTATCAGCTGTTATTGTCATCAGGCCCTCTGAAACAAAGCTGTGGCAATCTTTGCTAACGCCGTAAAAGGCCAATTCCTCCGAGGGGAAACGACAGGTCCGTATGTAGTCATGTAATTTGCGCTTCTCATCGAACGGGAGCGTTTTGGTGATCATATAGTGCACCAAAACACCAAGGGACCACATATCCACCTTTGCAGTGTATTGAGAATCCGACCCATTGTGTTCAAGAACCTCGGGTGCGATGAAGCCAAGCGTGCCGATCGCCGTTCGAAGAGCTGTTTGTCCGTCATTGACACGTTTGCTGATCCCAAAGTCGCCGATCTTGACCCACCAGTGTGGGCTTTTCTGGACCACAAATATATTCTTATCTTGTGAGTATATATCTCCTCGTGCGAATAGAACCAAGAAGTACTTACAGCTGGTTTCAAATCCCGATGGGCATATCCATTCAAATGCAGCTGCTCAAGGCCTTCCAAAAGCTGATGCGTAATTTGCTGGGACTCCGACTCCGGTAATGGCTGCCTTAGACATTTTTCAAGATCGCCGAATTCGAAGTATTCCATTGCGATGTAGGCACAGTCGGCGTCATCATACCACCCGAAAGATTTAACAAAGAAGCCCTCATACTTACCATAGTCAGCCAGGCAGTGGAATAGGTGTATAAGAAGAAGTGCCCGTACCTTCATTTGAGAAAATTTCGCAATTGCTTCTAGCTCGCGCGTGTAATCGATATCTTGAGAGAAAGATGTATTTTTAGGGATGACTTTCACAGCGCGAATTTTCGGTTGACTGTCAACACCCAAACACCGTTCCAGCCAAACACTCCCGCCGCCTCCTTTTCCAAGAAGTTTTACTCTTTTCCAACTTTCTTCCTTTCGTTGTCGTCGGACCTGACATCCAGGTCTAGCATCCGATTCGAAAACTACATGACGGGTTTCTTTCTCGGAGAACTGGACGGATAGCTTTGAATCATTCACAAGATCAGATGTCATGGTATATATTGCTTGATAGGCGATTCACGTTGCCAGAACTTCTGTGATGAAAGGTCAAGTTCCCAAATACCTTCAGGAGTGCGGCTGAGTCCGCCCCCGCCTTCTGTCAGCTGACCTGTATAAGGCACTTAAACAGGCCAAATCCGCTTTTCCTACTCCGTATTCATATTTGATACGCTATATCCTGGTTCTTCTGTCAAACCTCAATAATCGCACCTGATTTACAATGAGTGACGTGGGATTTGGTCTTCCTATCCTCGTGACTATTGAGATTTGTTTGAGGTATGTAAACTCACAGCAGACTTGCCTTCACTAGGTATTATTGATTTCAGATACAAAAATATCGTTGTAAAACAGTACTAAGCGATTGCTGACCTTGTCGGTAAAAGACCCTCCTTCATATTCATACCGAGAACCAACGAAAATGAAGTGATACCCACGAGCTGACCCAATGTGATCTGTAAACGGCGGACCTGTGGATTGCCTTTTCGAGTTAGCATTGCCTTTTTGGGTTTAGTGCCTCAATACGCTGTCACGGCCTTGACACTTCTCCCACCATCTATCTCGCACTCATCGTTGCAGCTCCACAATTTTGATCACACAACTGGAACCCCTTCCAGACCCTCTTTTCTTTCCTAGTCGCAATCTTTGGATGAGCCCGGTTTGCCTCTATTATTGGAGCTCGCAACCCGGGATAATCCGCATGTGGCGCTCCTAGTATCTAGGTGGGTACATCTCCGAGCGATATCACCCGTTCGACCTGGTCACACGCTCGTCCTTGGTTCGATAACCTACTCTTTCGCCTGAGCTGGTGCCTTGTTCGTGTGGCCCACGCCAAATCGCCTATCCTGGTCGTTACTTTACACTTCAGACCTGTCTTGCTTTTATGAATGTCGAGAATGTCATGTGTAAATCTCACAGCTGCAGCTTTATTATCAGCTACATTCGACCGCCATAATGTTCAGCATCAACGAGATATTGGCCCACTTCCGCTTGTTTGTTGCAATTGCACTTGCCATATCTATAAATTTTCTGCTAATAGTGTGAATATAATACATGCTGATTAAAATCTCTCTATCAATACTCATCATCGTTTACTCCCGAACCAGAACACCGCGGTATCTCATCTTTCCATCACGTAGAGTCTGCATAGCAGTCTCGACACCATCCTTAGTCAAGGGGAACGTCATGGTAGTCGGGGTAATCTTCTTCGCGGCAGCAAACTCAAGCAACGTACGCAGACTGCGGCGCGATGCAACAAGCGAACCCTGGATCCGGATGCCCTTGATATTCATGAACAGAAGGGGAACGGGCGAGGGAGCAAAGTCGACAGTCAAGGGGTAGATTGAGCCATGCACATCCATAAGTGGGATGAGGCTGGGGTAGTCGACATTGGCGCTGCCGCAGAGCAATAGGTGGTTCACAGGCTTGAAATCCTTCATTTCCTCACCCTTGCGGAAGACGTGGTATTCGGACGCGCCAAACTTGAAGGCCTCCTCGCGCTTCCCCTCCGAACTGGATAAAACAACGACATGGCAGCCCATCGCTGAAGCGAGCTTGATGGCCAGGTGGCCCAGGCCACCGATACCCATGATAGCTACCCGGTCCGTCGGCTTGACGCCGTACTCGGTCAGACAGGTCCAGACGGTGGCGCCGGCGCACATCAAGGGCGCGGCATCGGCGGAGTCATAGCCATCCGGGACGGGGACGACGCATCCAGCGTCCCACACGGTGCCGCCGCTGAACGAGCCCAGGTCGTGGTCGTGTGAGCCATATTCTTTCTTATTCTCGCAGTATTGGTCCCAGCCTGATTTTGATTACTATTAGTCAAATTGTTGATCTTATTCTGGGGGAGGGGGGCTCTTACCTGTCAAGCACTTTTCACAGTTTCCACACACGTAGTGTGTGTATCCGTATCCAACACGTGCTCCAACCTTTACACTGGTGACGTCCCGGCCGAGCTGGCGAACAATACCGACACCCTCATGGCCGAGGGCCATGCCGGAAGAGAGATAATGCTCATCTGTGCCGCAGAGACCGGAGTGTGTTGTCTCGATGTAGACCTCGTTGGGCTGTAGGGTGCGGGTAGTCTTGTCGGCCACGATCTTGCCCTCCTTGGAGCCGCGGAAAACCTCGAAAGTGACACTCATTATGATATTTAAATGTGATTTGGAAGAATGAAGAATAACGCTACGAAGACAAGACAGATGGCCTTTTAAATAATAATAATCAAATCCACCTAGGTACAACATACAGGTTTTACATGTCTTGGTATCCATGTGGGCCCTAGGCGCCATTTTCCAGGTAGTCCTTACATTTCACCAATTAAATCTCTGCTAGGTGTGGATCAAAGCATTAAAGTTGTTCTAAAGAATTCTGCACGTTGCGTCGATCAGTTCCAAGGTTAGCGGCTATCAAGCCTAAAATCACTACCATTGCCGACTCATCCGGAAGTTGAGAGTTTTAGGTCAAGCTAAACCATAGAGAGCGATCCTCCGAGCAAAGTATCCACAAAATCAGATATTTGATATGGAGCAAGCGGTTGGAATTCCTCCGAAGTCCAAGCTTGTCGGAGACTTTTGACCTTCGGTCGAATTGGACTCGGGATAGATATTATCATCTATACTGATATGTCTTCAATAGTGCCGACTAATACCTTGGGAACCATAATTTCGCCAATTGTCTACGAAAAAATCCACCTTCAGTGACGTCATATGCTAAATACAGGAACGTCGTCTTTATATGGACCATTAGGTGGATAGCCTTACCAACATGTTTAAAGTCAGACATATGTGGGTGCTGACATCCCTCTAGTACCACTGAGATCCTCGTTTGCCGATACATAATACGATTCTCTGGTGATCGTCCTTGGATGGTTGCCACTGCTCTTACTGATCATATCGGTCTTGTCATAATCTAAATGGCTACTACACCTCCCGTAGAGAAAGTCTAGCACTATAAAAACCACTTTGATATCATCTTTGTATTGGTCTTTTGTGGGGTCTTTTAGAATATAACGGCTAACTATCCCCTAATATTCTTAGTGGGGCAGCTTTGATAGCTATTTCTAGACCTTTAAGAGACCAGATACATATATGTATAAATGTTGATCCATGGCAGCTGGTTAACGTTCTCTCAGCGAGAAACCCGGTTGGTGCGATGGACCCAAACCCTGCCGTACTTGAGAGAAATGCCCTCAATATGCGAAGCGGTCGTCCTCAATACATATTTAGATCTTTTACGTTAAGTGGACTTGTAGATATTGCATCAAGAGTTGATGTACGCAGGACTCTATGTGGTAAGAGAAGAAAGGACTAATTAGCAGAAATGAGATAGATACTGATGATGATCTAACAACTGCCATGAAACTCTCTGAGTAGCTTCATAGGGAGAAAGCCACACAAAGTATCAAATCCCGCGAGCCATAAAGTGGCATAGAGAGGTCTGAGAAACCGTGGTATCTCACACTGCATGAAAGTGGAGTAGTGAAACTAGGAGCCACAGCCTTCATATTCTCACTAGAGCTTCTCAAAAGTCGGTACCTTCTTCGACATCAATGCCCTAATAGCAACTGGAACATCATTTGTTTGAACCACTGCGGTATTATAAGCCAGCTGGTATTGAAGGCCTAATAAATTGTTAACATCGGTGTCCCTTGTTGGAAATGAGGGTGCCGCAATCAATTTTTATACATACCCTCTGCAACAGTGCGGTCTCGACTGTGATCCAAGAAATGTTTGACCGTCTGTACGGCTACCGGACTCTTTTCGCTCAAATTTCTGGCGACCCTAAACGCTTCCGCAATAGCGTCTTTCTTTGTCGGGAGGACGCTGCTCACAAATCCCTCACGACGGGCCTCATCCGCATCAAAATTCCTTCCTGTCATAGCCACGTCTTTCACCCAGCTGTAAGAACCTACAACCTTGGGCAGCCGCGCGAGAATCCCGACATCAGAGGCAATTCCGATGTCGACCTCCTTGACACAGAATATTGTGTCTTTGGAGCAAATTCGAATATCAGCAGCTGAGCACAGATCGGCTGACATTCCTAGTGCAAAACCATGCAGGACACAAATAACAGCTATATGGATGGTTTGTTGTCAGCATGAATACTTCCAATTCTGCATTTAGTTTGCATCAAGGGAATGAATGATATAGTAAACAGGAAAGAGGGTTCCATACGTTTCTCGCACTTCTCGATACTTGTGATACACTCCTGGAACTCAACTCCAAACCGTCTGAGGGCAGCCGCACGTCTGGCGGGATCAACATGCTCGTCTGGTCGGGGATTAAACGGTGAACCTTCTCTAGACGCCCATTTAAGATCTATGCCAACGGAAAATGCCCTTTCGCCAGACCCTGAGAAAACCACTGCACGGACAGAAGGGTCTGTAGAGAGATGATCGAAAACAGTCCGCAGTTCCAGCCATACACTAAATCACGTTAGAATCGCCATGAACCAAGTCCTAGGTTTGGACTTTCCTACTTACTCTGGGATAATTGCGTTCAACTGGCCTGGTCGATCGATCTCAACATGAGCTATCCATGGCTCAGGAATAGTGACTCTGAAATGAGTGTAAACTTTTTCTGACGTCTTGATAAGGTGCCCAGGTAGAAATAATATAGAGGTGGAAAAGGATGAATGGAGCTAACAACGGTGCTTTAAGGGATGTTCAGATCATAGTTCCTCGGCTCGGTCTCAAGGATAACCGAGGGTATATTTGAGTAAAAGAGATTATAAATAATTGCTGAATGCTGCCATATAAGGAAAATATTAAGCTGACGGTGACAATGGCAACTAGTTAGTCATGTAACTACTATATTTGAACTCTCTCAGTCTATATGTATCAAATATTAGCTTATTTTCACAGGATACGTACAGTTCCTTGTGATGGTATCACAATTTCATCAATTCTTTCTTGTGTTCTCATCACCTCTAAAGGCCAAGACGGTGGGATGTTGTGAGTCGAAAACCCCCCACAACGGGATGATTACTGATCCGGGTTCAGAACCTCCCGACGGTATTGTCCCTTGTCAAAACCGGTGTGGACGCTGTTTAGATCTCGAGGAATCCCAATGCTTCTGAAGTTGCGATGAAGTGTTATGTGAAATAATTCGTAAAAAATACCGTATTTTATGTGTCAATGCTCTATTTAAAGATGGAGCTACTACCTATTTAGGTCTCGGGACAATCTAGCTTCCAATTTACCTAGGCAGCTTCTAGAATTCTTCTCCTTAACAACCTCTATAAATCTCAAATATATATCTATCATAACTTTAATATTAACCTTGTTTTTCAACATCCACCAGTCGGATTTTGTTTAAAATTAGAGTATGTACTTATACAGCTATTATAATTCTAACTTCTAAATTTAAACCCTATATAACTAGTAGAAGGGTCAAAATACAGCGATTATAAGATGCTAGTTGAACCCCCTAAATGGGCTTTGATGGGAGCCCAATAAAAGCCCATCAAAGCCCATCAGGTTGGGTTGGGCTTCGGGCCTGAACCTGGGTTCATTTATGGGCTTTGCGGAGGTCTAATTAGGGTCATGTGGCTTAGATCACGTGGACCTCCACTATATAGCTAGCTTTAACTTGAGCTAGTCGATAGCGAAGATAAGAGTAGTCCTTTTCTCCCTCTTTATAGAGATAAGGGTGGCACTCAAAGGCGGCCTAGGTTAAAAGAGGCAAGGAAGCGTAGCAAACCTAGTGATGATTAATTTATATCGTATTAGTATAAGTATATAACTATAATAAATGCCTAATTTATTATATAAAGGCTTCCAAAGCCCACTTTTCTAACCTCGGTCAGAAAATTGATAGTGGTATTAAGTCATTGCATAAATGCTTCCAAACCTACTATATACCAATGCCACTACTATCTACATATAATCAAATTACTTAAAAATACAATGAAAAAATGCACAAATAATGCAAGTCACGAGGTCAAGGAATTCTACTTACTAAAAAGGCCCACGGGTGCTCACAACACCCACGGCCCGTGGGCCCTTAGGGTAGGGCTCGGTGATCATCACAGAACTGAGAACACCACCGATGTGTCAGGCTGACTGTGTTCATTGCGAGCAGCGAATTCCAGCTCTTTGCTCAAACTCCTGACACATGAACGATCCACATCGGCCAAGTCCAGCTGACCAGTTTCCAATGCCTGGCCAAATTCCAAGGCTCGCTGTTGGATAAATGGGGCCTCAATGTCAAGCCCATTTCGGGGTGAGGTGACAGGATCACGTAGGCCAAAGATGAAGTCGGATAGGACGAAGCCCTCATAGCCCCATTTCCCGCGCAGAATGTCGGTCAGTAGGTTACCATTCTGGTCAGCCCATTTACCATTGACCAAGTTATAAGCTGACATGACGGAGGCGACACCTCCCTCCACGATGCGCCGAAAGTGAGGCAGGTAAACTTCATGCAGCACATCCTCATCAACCTATACGTCCACACGGAAGCGGGAATTCTCCATTGAGTTGAGGGCAAAATGCTTGACGCAGGCCATGATATGGTTCTATACTCCTTTCGTGAGAGCCAAGCCGGATTCCCCCAGCATTAGGGGGTTTTCGCCATAAGTCTCCTGTATGCGACCCCAAGCTGGGTGTCGGGGTAGATTGACACAAACGCCGGCGAAGTAGTTGGCACCCTGTGCTTTGGCTTCTCGTCCAATAGCATCACCAATTCGTCGTTCGAGGTCTATATCCCGGGTAGCTCCATGGGCCATGGCGACAGGGAATGCAGTTGACGAGCCCATGACAACGCCCCGAGACCCGTCTGTGAAGCGGGTTCCGGGAATTCCTAGGCGAGGAATACTACCATGAACAAACAGCTCATAGTTGTAACGATGGCATAATATAGTTCGTAGTCCATCCTAGAAGGGGACGTCCCCATCCAGAAGAGAAAGACGTTCATGTGTCGCCAACTGCGACAACAGCTGATTGACGACTTGAGACAGTACCCCGCCATCACGGATTGACTTGGTCACATTTTCAAAGGTATCATTGAGGTTCAGGTTCGGCATCTTGTCGATGGGGATCCAATCTTTGAATGAAGATAGAATTTGGAACAAAGTAGCTTGTAGCCACTCAACCCTATATTGTTGCCCATCCCGATATTCCGCGACGATATGAACCACATCCCTCGACCGGATAAATGAAATAAAACCGGAGAATACCCTAGATATGCACAATGCAGTCAGCGATCGCTTTATCCGTCTCGGCTGTATTCAATTCGGAAATCTCCGTTGTCTCAAACTCTATCGTCCCGACACTCCCCTTTAGCTAATCATTGTCCCAATAAGGGTCACTTTCAGCATTGATCTTCAATTCCCCAGACATGTCTTGCGTATTCCCCCACTTACACCACACAAACTCGAATATTGCATGTCCGGCATGATGAATGAAGCTATAAATATGCAGTTCGATAACATAGAGCCTCGGGATATATAAAGTCTTGCTATATATCGATTCTATCAGTATTGATGCAGCAACCAACATCCATCTATATTCTTCTTTCTCGACAATCCTCACAAAATGCGTTTTATTCTTCAAGTGCTCCAAATTCTTCCTGCCGCTCTCTCTCCATTGCCTCTTGCCAAGTCGTCTCGAATCCGAAACCGGAACCTTTCACTGATTTCGTCAATTATATCTTATGGCACCCTGCTGCAGACGCTGTACAGTGGCATACACTTTATGCTCGCTCTCTCCAGCTGCCAGACGAGTCCCTTCTCATAACCTGGGAAAACTATCCACTCGAGCCACCACTCGTCAATCACCCTATCTTCCGATCGGTTGACGGTGGCTCAACCTGGTCCAAATATTCTGCCGTGGAGGACCAAGTGAACGGCTGGGGCATGCGCTTTCAGCCTTTCCTCTACACGTTACCTGATAAGTTTGGTGGATATGCTGCCGGGTCTGTTCTTGCCGCTGGTGTTTCTACCCCCTTCGGTCTCACAGGAGGAGTGTACATCAGTCTCTCTATGTTAGTGTCAACAATGCGAAAAGCTGGAAATTCCTTAGCCATGTCGCATATGGCGCGGGCCCTGAAACCATCAAAAATGGAGACGATGCTATCTAGGAACCATTCTTGATGTTTTATGAGGGGAAGATTGTCTGCTTCTTCTCCGACCAACGTGATCCAGCCCATAGCCAGAAACTCATCCATGTTACCACCACCGATCTTCTCATTTGGTCCGCCGATGTTCCTGACGTTATTTATCCCGTCCAGGGTGACCGTCCCGGCATGACTACCGTCGCACATATCGAACACACTGGCAAATACATCATGACTTACGAATATTGTGGAACTGCTGGTTGTGCTGTGCATTACAATGTTGCCCCCTCGCCGTTGGAGTTCGACACCGTTGCAGGCATTCCATTGGTCTCAAATGACACGCGTCCGATTACTCCCTATGGGTCTCCATATGTGATTTGGATGCCCTATCCAAAATGCCAGGACGGTTCCGGGCTAGCCATCGTCGGCGCCGGTAACCAGGAAGTTGTATTCGTCAATGAAGATGCGGCAGATGCAGATGGTTGGAAGACAGTAAATACGGGCATGTGGTCAGCCTACTCTCGCTCAATGAGAATTGTCACTATCGAGGGTGTTAAGAAGTTGTTGTTTGCGAATGGAGGCAATATGGGCGATCCAGATAACAACTCAATAGCTTGTGGTGTGGCTGAGATCCCGGTGTGAGCTATAATGCTCTGAAATGCTGTGTTGTGAAAGTGGAATACAACAGTGAGCATGGCATATGTGAAATGCAACGTTTCCTATTTATTGTTAGCGAATGAATGCGCGAATTACTTTCAACAATTTATGGGTTTGATACGAATACCTGATTTTAGTAGAATAAATAGTAATACAACCTGAAGAAGACTGTAGAAGATGAAGCAGAGCTCCTATGTGAGGTTGTCGCTCGAAAAGTCCGGGCGGTTACTGACTACAGATATGTTCTTTTAGACTAGCCAGGATTAAACTTCATCTCTGCCCTTTCATGTCTATTTAGTCGCTTTTCATTAGAACTCTTTGACACAGGTACAACCGGTATAGAATGGAGGGATATTGTTTTGGCGAGTGATACAAACCTAATTCAGGTACAAATATTGAAAGGTCGCTCGTTGCTATAGCTCGATACATATTCTACCATCATGATATGTATTTATCAAGAAAGATACAAATCAAGCTAAAACCAGAGTCAGAAATTATATAAAATCATGTCCTCAGTACATCTGCCACATGATGAAATACTCGAGTCGTATCAGTTAGACTGTCGTGTACTTGGGTAAACTTGACGATTGGGGTGAGTATAGGGCACAGCCGGGTTATATATAGAAACGTAGTCTGCCCATTTTATTTTTTTCCCGCTTTTTTTAGCTTTCCACCTATGAAGCTGAGAAGGGGGAGAAAATACCTAGAAAATACACCTAGAAAGATCATCTCAAAGACTACTTCAAGCACATCACAGGACATGAAAAGGCCGCATAGGCAGACGACTATTCTTGTTGGGATAATTCAAAAAAGCAACGTCTATCTTATCCATAATTTTTCTCCATATAATCAAATACAGCTGAAACCAGTTCGTATTAAGCCAGACACATAGTACATAAGTATACAGAACTCGAGAAACCTAAGTTGATGAATGTACGAACTGTGATGCCATATTTCTCAGGCCACCAACATTTGGTAATCTTATCGCGTGTTTTCTTATCGCCACCGGATATTTTCCCTTCGCTGAACTTCCAGATCTCACATTTATCCATTGTCAACTTTGCTGTGCTCGTTACTTCCCCTTTTTCCATCAACAGGTGTCTCCTAAGATGGCTACCAAATGCGCTGCGTCATCAACGCTCGCCTTGCCTGCCGTTCTGCGCAATGTTTTCCGCTCTCAGTTTACCAATAACTTGGGCGCTTCTTCAATAAACCCCTATCACCGACCTCTTGCGTGTGGTCCTCTTTTCTCTTCGAATATCCAGCTTCAGCGATCCTTCAGTTCAATGCCGCGCTTGCGTGATTCCCAGAATGATCAACCAGCGCCCGCAGCCCCTGAAACCCCGGCTGTCGTCGATGATACCGTGCCTTCTCAACCCAAAACACCGAAGGGGAAAGATTACGACTCATTCGGCAAGAAAAGCGGATGGAATACTCACAAAGGTCACCCTAAGGACCAGCGAAGGAGCCCAGAAAATAGCAAGGGAAGAACCGACAGAGAGCGCAGAACTTTCCGCAACGAGACTCGCAGGGAGGCCGACAAGGAGCCTCGCAAACACTGGCAAGATAGAGCCGAAAGAGGGAAACAGTTCTCAGAGAACAGGGGAAAGAGAAAGCCTGAGGCCTGGCAAGTGCAAAAAGCGGCTTTGAAGGACAAGTTCGCCGGTGGTTGGAACCCACCCAAGAAGCTTTCCCCTGATGCTCTCGATGGAATCCGTCATCTTCATGCCAAAGCTCCCGAACAATTCACGACCGCTGTCCTCGCAGAGGAATTTGAGATGTCCCCGGAAGCTATTCGCCGAATTTTGAAGAGCAAATGGCGCCCATCGGAGGACGAGATGGAGAGTCGGCGCAAGCGATGGGAGAACCGACACGATAGAATCTGGAGTCGTATGGCTGAGCTTGGTCTTCGCCCTTCAACCAATCGCACGCGGCCCCTTTCAGACTTCCATGTGCTGTATGATGATGACAATCGCGAGCGAAGATAGTCATCTGTGTACATTATACTATGTTAGATATGTTTTAATTTGCGCCTGTATAATAAATAATATCAGCTGTGACTTTTCCTCTACTCTAATGTTGAAAATAAACAACATATTTACTCTACATCGATGTAGTAGTTGGTAGATAAGGTGGGTATCATATGTCATTTAGCCCGTAGTTCGGAGCGGAGCTAGCAAGGATATCATCGCCACGCAACTCTCTCGGTAACACATCCTCAACTCCACAACCAGCATGGTTCAATCGGGTTGACAGGATGCTAGTGTCGGCATATTTCACCAAGCTTCGACCTAACTACAGCTCATCGTGCCGGCAAATCCCCCCAGGCCTTGGTCCCCCTCGAATTGCAGCCCACATGCTGACACAACCATGCCATCCAACATCCAAGTATTCGTGAAATGGAAGGACCAGACTATATTTGCAGGAGAGGATGTTGAATGTACTATAACATTCAAGAACGTGGCCGATACTGGCGCCGATGCCAATAATGCGGGCGAAGGAGGTCAACATTCACGGAAGATCTCTCGAGTCGCGAATCACACACCTCACTCGAACTCGGACTCTTTCTTCGGATTCAAATCACCCCAGGCTCTCTTTTCTGGTCGGCGATCATATTCCACCAGCTCACAACGAAAGCCTTATCACCGGACAGCCTCGTCCCTGAGCTCTCCGTTGGTCGGCTCCCATAGCTTTCCTCCGAACAGTGGCCCCTCTACACCGCGAGCATGGCAATCAGGTCACAACCATAAACGATCCGTCTCCATCCTCTCCATTGATAGCGAAGGTCAAACCGATCCGACGCCTTCCCCGCACAATTACAATCGACATCAACCAGCCAGGGGTCATGGGCGCTCGGCGAGTCTCCAGGTTATGCCGCGAAGGAATAATAGCTGCGAGGATTCTTACAAAAAAGGTAGATGAAGGACAGTGCAAATATGTGCTTAGGGCTCTTCAGCTAATGACTGTCTCTTATCAGCGAGAGCCCCCTCTCATGCCTTTCCATTTCCATTGACAGAGGCTCCTAACGAGCATCCCAACGGCAGCCTGAGAGTTGATACCTCCCACTTGGGACGAGCCAGCCGCCCTGGGTCTATAGCGACTAGCCCAGTAGGCGCAACAGAGCCATTGCGTCGACCTTCACGACGACCACAACCACCTCCCCTCGATTTTAAATTTCCGGCCACGCCATCGACTGATTCAACTAATAATCGCACCGTGCGCACTCCATCACCAAAGTCGGCGACAACGAACGGTACATCATCAACCGGAGGAAGATCCGCTGTCAGAGAAGCACAAGGCCTGACTGGACCAGCGCACCAGCAACTAACCCGGATTATATCAGCCACAAGCGTGAATGGGAGCAGCCGGAGCAGTGGGGAGTTTTACTCCATCAGCGACCACTCCACCGAGACCCTCGGGTCTGAATACACAAATTATTCGGTACAGGGTGCGCGAGCTCCCCTTCAATGCGGCATGCGCGGCATCAATCGAGCGTAGTTCCATCTCCCTCCAAAGCCTCCAACAGCCAGGCGCTGCTGATGGGCTATGCGCAGGTCAGCGCATCATTCACGGTCGATGGCTCATTGGTGAACCAGTCAGCCTTTGACGAAGTCAAGCGAAAGGGAGTTGTTGGTGGCCAACCGGGTTCGGGTGGACTTCCTGGACGTCCAACGCCAACAGCTGAGCGACCACGTAAAACTGGTGGGTTCTGGGGTGCACTCAAATGGAACACCATTGAAGAATCTATCAGTGGTCTTCTTTCAAATAACGAATTGGACGGTCTACGAGAAATGCGGGGTGTTACATCGTCGAGATCAATCCCGCTGTTGTCTACTTCACAGTCGCTGCTCTTTGTTGACCTCCGACTAGCACCAGGGGAGGAACAGTCCTATTCTTTCTCTTTCGCTCTTCCCAAAGGACTCCCGGCGAGCCATAAAGGGAAAGCAATCAAGATCTCATATAATTTGGTCATTGGAACTCAGCGGCCTAGCGGGCCTAACGAGCCTCAAAAGGTCAACCGCATCAATATACCCTTCCGCGTTTTCAGTGGCGTGAATGGTAAGTTACATTATTTCCTTTGCCTTCCATCCCAGGGTCTTACATTTTTATAGAAAAGGGAGATATCCTTGGGCATGACTTGATGTCACCTTATGTACTTCTACGGGATGAAGCGAAGGTGCAAAAGGTCGGGCCAGTGATGCCTGTGACAACGAAAAACCAAAGTATGAGTAAATCTCACCATTCCGCGGCCGACTTCCTTGGTTTTGTGGATGAAATTTTGGAGCAACGTGCGCGTTCCAACACGCTGTTCCCACCTGGTGCTACGCCCTCGAGACGGCCTAGCGTCGAAGGGTTACCCCAGCTGCTTACTTCGAAAGATGTCATCGACTTTGCTATCCTTCGCAGCAACCAGGCCGTGAACTCTCGTCGCAGCCCCAATCGCTTTGAGATTGCACGCGAAGGTAAACGTATTGCCGTGGTCGTCTTGAACCGACCAGTTCACCGACTTGGAGAGACCATTATCGCCACCATGGATTTTGGAGATGCCAACATTCCATGCTACGCTGTACGTGCCTCGCTGGAGACGTCGGAAAAAGTTACCCCTAATTTGGCCGTCCGGTCAAATGCTAGCATTCACCGAACCACGCGGCGCATCCATGCTTCTCTGTTCGAGAACACACTCCATGCCACCCGAGTGGCTTTCAGCCCGGCCATCCCCATCACAGCCACCCCTTCAATCTTGACGAGCGGTGTGACTCTCGATTGGGAACTGCGATTCGAGTTTGTGACATCCAGTGTTCGAGGCAAGCAAGGAGCCCAACCTTCGGGCATTCGCTTACTCGAGGCTTTGTCATCGGATGATCGCGGCACGATGCTTTCTGCCATGGAGCATTTGAACTGTGAATCATTCGAGATCGCTATTCCGCTAACGGTTTATGGAGAGACCGTTCGAGAACGACTACCCGAGGAGAATGAAGGCTACC